GTGACTTTCAAATGACTTCACCTACTTTTATCTTGCAAACCAATTTCCCTCTGAGGTGGACAACTTGCTTGTCATAAACCTCATACCCTGAGCAAAGACTGAATACTCAACGCATTAAATTTACATCATCCTATCACATACTCTCCTTATTCTATACATATAAATTATTATTTGTGAGGCATACTCGGAAAAAAACAAGCAAGTTTAGGTGTTTCCTCCTAGCTTTTAACAATGCATAAATTATTATTTGTGAGGCATACTCAGAAAAAAACAAGCAAGTTTAGAAGGTGTTTCCTCCTAGCTTTTAACAATGCTGAAGATTATCTTGGACTCAAATGGCATGGGTGATTAGTGTTGCATCAATTTTAATCCTCTCCTAATATTTTGAGAAATTACTGCCTTCGTCTTAACTTTAGAAGACAGTTTTCAGAACTCGTTCAATGAAACACTTTGATCTTTATTCAGGGTTCAGAATAGCTTTGTAAATACGCAAAAATATCAGCTAAGCTGAGACCTATTACTTCAATGCCTAGAAGTTCTTACATTGTCTCCTAATTCATTGTAGGCTTTAATTTAACATGAATAACCAAGAATTACTTATATTTACAGGGTACATATTGTACTCACAGGCATGAAAAATACAATTTGTCTCATCTAATAAGTCATAATTAGCTTTTGTTTTTACCTTTCCAGAAGCAGAATATTTTTAACGTATTCAATTGGAGTTATTTTTATCCAACAATTTATATAATTCTTTTAATGAAAGCAGTCATATGTCAGCCTATCACTACTACTGTAACTTATTTTCATATAAAAAATGAAAAAGCCTACATAAAGGAAGCATTGTATGAAGAAAAAAAAATTATTTCTCTCTCTAAATAAAGGCAACTATGACCAAAACTTCTGGACTTTTTTTTAAACACTCATGAAACTTTTCTTAGAAAGGTGCCCTTTCTCTCCTCAGGCATTTAAGTACAACTCTAAATAATCTCGAAATCTAAAGAGAGTTAAAACATATGCTAGGCTTAAGAGACAGCTCTCCATCATAGCATATAACCCACGCCCTCAACACCTTCAAAACATTTGCACCATATACTATGAGGTGTGAAAACTCACACATGTGCAGAGTCTTCCTTGGCAAAAAAAAAATCCCGTTAATCGTTAGGAAGATGCCACTTACAGGCTGATTTTTATGAAACTTAGATTCTAGCTAAGGTATAATGTATGAAAACACATAAAATACTGCTTCATCTCTGTAGCAGTCCAACAATGACAACATGCCCAGTTTGGAAACATTAGTCAATGAGGAAACTCTTAAATGCTGAACACTGCAGTTCCTCACAAAATTAAATTATGGAGCAGAAGAAAGATGGATCATAGACCTCAACACATCCAGGACAGAAAAGCCACATTTATTTAAGTTAAAGAAAACAATTTCTGCTGTTGTTCATTCAGTTAGCCCTCACCCTTCAGTACTTAACTAGTAAAGCTAGTTTTGAGCTCTGAGAAAGTAGACTTGTAAATAAACAGGAAGTTCTTTCTTTAACCATTAATGGGCAATTAAGAATGTGGAGTCATGGAAAAAAACGGGGAAACAAACTTCAAGCTCCTTAAAACATCATTTGAAAGCACAACTATGATTGACAGATTAATACAGAAAAATATCACCTTGCATTATGTCTGAGAACCATAGCACTAAATACCATGCTTACCTAGTGTGGTATCTTACTGTTCAAACAGCTCGTCTCCCTTTTTCTGAGGATTAGCTACACCACTTCCCCGTCTTTCAGAGCACGTGCTTAACAAACTCTTTACTAAACTGAATAGAACGAGCAAGACAATTTTCATGGGGGGGGGACCAAACAGAAAGGTCAAACAGGTTTTCCATTGAAATCTGTTCTTCCAGAAGCACTTACACCAAGCTGAAATAACCAGTCCCGTCTTCGTCTTTGAAATAAACCTCTGGACAGTAAGGCTTGAATTATGTGAGGAGGAGAAAACAGCAAGGAAATCAAAACTTACTGCACAGAGAATACACGTCTAGTGGATGCTTACCTGTTATTATAAGAATAACCTGGTCTGGAGAAGAACTTGAATTATTCAGTACAAAAAAAACATTCAAAACACACGATGCAAGATGGAGGGAAGGTCAGCCTGAATCTTTACATAAACCGGCAGATAAGGACAAACTTAAGTTCTCACTGACCGTTAGAGAGAGCGTGGAACAACAATTTCTGGGGCTGGAGCTACCAAGAATCACCAGTACTCTTTCAGGTGACAGGGAATTACATATTTCTAAGTGTAGAAATATAAATCCTTATCAGTCCTTCACACTAAGAGAGGTTATCTTTAAAGAGAGTTCTTCCACAAAGTCTAAATCTCTGTGGAGAGCATTGTGCCCAGGGATACATTCCCACAGACCACTTAATTTACTTCTGTGACAGAGCTAAACTATCATATTTGACTGAAGAGTGTTGATTAGAGGTGCACCCAAGCAAAAAAGCTCTGGAACTCATGTGCTGCTTGGAATGTGTCTGAGGCTTCAACCAGTCACGGTGACAGGCAGCTACAAGCCTCAGTGCACAATGGTAAGGAGGGACCTTGGTTGAAGCCTTGCAATTTGAGAGTGACGCTAGACAGAAGGTGAAACAGCAGTAGCCGAATTCTTCTTCGTAATCCATCAGAATACAGAGAGCAGGAGGAAGAAGTTGTCTTTCCATGGGTATTGCAATGCAAAATTTTCCAGCCTCACAAGACAGGCAGGAGCACTCCCACTGTTAAAACGTAGAGGTGGATTCCAAAAAAAGCCCTAATTATTATGCTTCCTATATTTACATGTTCATCTTTCAAATCTTGTACTCTGCTTTTATTAATGTATTGCTACATAGAAGAAAAATGTGTGTAGAACAAAAATTCTACCAGTCTCATTAGACTTCTTCTAATCAAGAGAAGTTCCCGATTTCAAGAGGGAGCAAAATCTTAATACTCTCCCTCCAGTGTTGAGACTACGTACCATCCTTTTACAGTACAAGCAATGAAACCATATAGGCATTTGTTTTATCCTCCTCAGAGTTTATTTTGCATGTAATTTTACACAGTTTATACTTCACATCATACATTTATTCCTTCTCTTGAAAAAAAGGTTTGACACAGACACTTGCCTTGCATTACATTTTGAAACCTGGAACTGGTGCCAGTAAAAAAACAAGCCACCCTATAAAACATATTAGATCAATACAATGTAAATAACATGTATTAGAAGTTGCTCGTTATTTCACTACAAGGAAAACAATCTGGAAAAAAAAAAAAGATAATCAGTTCCAGTTGCTAAAACAGTTCAGTGTATTTTCTTTAAAGTCTTAGTGTAACGGGAATGCTTTTATTAGCCCACTACCAAACAATGATCAAACCGGTGTAGAGGAAAAGGAAGCATGATCCTAAACAGTATTATGGTACTCAACTGCAATATAAAATTCTCAGTCACACAGAACATAGCAGACTGGGGATGTTCATAAAGTCCTTCCAGTGTGAACTCTGCAAAAGACTGTTTTCCATCACGCTGCATTATTCCATCATATCCCTTATTTTGCTTAAGAAGTAAGCCACAAGTAAGCATTCCAAGAACCGTGAATAGATTTCCAGTGTTGGCACAACTATTCAGTAATTTACACAATGGTTCACGTAGGAAACTGGGTAAAATTATGACTTGGAAATGGTCACGGACATCTTCCTCTTTGGCTACTTTAAAAGTTAGAAAATTCAGATTTGTACAAAAGACATTCATTTCAGAACCAATTCAAATATGTTTTTAAATAAATGGAACAAAATAAAGCATGTCTTGTTAATTTGGTATTAATTTTCCAGAATACTCTGCAATACATTTTCAAATATACAAAATCTTACTCTTTACAAAAAAAGTTGTAGCTCATGAAAGAACTCACTTGAATAATCTTAGCAGCACTCCAATAATTAACTACCTTGATTTTATCGAAAAAACACCTTAGTTTGATCACTGTATTTTGAGACTGCTTCTTCATGAGAAGCAATGTTTCAAAAGTTATAAAAGTGCAAGAACATCACCATGTTCCAAGCTGAAAGGCAGCTTCTGGATATCAGTATTGCAAGGTCCTGACATTAGTGAAGTAAATGCAATGGGAAGAATTACATTTTAAGCAACTCTTCCAGTGTGGTATCATTGCAGTAAGAACGTAACACTCTTCTCACTGAACATTTTAGTCATCTAAATAAAACAGTTGTGTCATTTTTTTTCAGCTGTAGCCAGTGAGATGCACAGACTAAGTGATTTGATTGGGAGCAAATAAGCCACACACACAATAGCATCAGCAGGTCACGAGTCAATCGGCCTGCTCATTCTGGTGTTCAGCATTTTTGTGCAATTTTAATTACATAAAAAATGGCAAAGTACAATATTCTCAGAGGACCTTCTCATCCACCTGGATAAACATTTCTAATTCCACGTTGGACTTCATTGAAGAAGAGGAGCCTCAGATTAGGTCCCACAAACCGTTAAGGCTGCCTTTTAGCCAAAACCTTCTGTTTTATTTAAGCAAACTACTTACTTTTAGTAAGAAGCATTACTATATAATTAACATTTGAATTCACTATCAAAAAAGAGGATTACAAGAAATAACAAACTTTGGAGCAGGATCACTCTTGTTATTCCTGATAAAATTCTGTAAACAACAATTTAATTGAGAATACCTGCTGCTTCGCAATATCTTAAGTGTAATTTTGTACTACTAGAACTACAAAACCAACGTTTTCCTTTCTGCCTCTTTTGTAAAGTTTCCTCAAAAGAGGTTCTAGCAAGTCAAGAGCTCTGCAATTATATGTAAATATTAATCTTACATTTTAAACACCTAATACTACTATACTCAGTTTCAGAAAGCTTCCTTAGAGCAAGTTTTGTTACTAGTACTAGTACAGCGTATCAGCACTTCTTTTATGACTTGCTTCTTCAGTGATAGTTACAGAGAACTTCATTTTGGGATATCCATATTCTGAAGCACAATAGCCACTCTGCTTGGAATGTACACCTAGTAAAAACATGACAAGAACAAGAATAGCTGAAAAAAACATAAATCACGGGACACAATTTCTAAACAACAGTATGTGAAAAAACACATGCGAAATATTTTAACTATTAAAAATTTGTCATTTGTGTAATGTTGCGGGACATATTAATCACTTTTAAAGAGTGATTATTGACTGCTTCATCCCCAGCACTTGAATTACACAAGATAATCTAAAGTTTAAAAGGCAGCTTCATTGCAATCTCTCCTCTATTCTCTTTTTTTTTTTTTTTAAATCTTACCTTGATATATTTGGAAGTGGTTACCAGTAGAGGGCCTCATATGACTTACAATGACCAGCTTCAAAGCCTGAGATCACGTAGGTCAATAGACCATACCATGATAAACGACAAAGTTTTGCAGCAGCATTTGAACACTCTTCTGCTCTGAATTAAAGTTGCCCCAAGGTCTATGATGTCATTTCATACAGGTAAATAGCAGCAATATGACACAGCAGTGTATTTGTCTTCCCCTTAGCATCTATGGAGTTCCAGTGTCTGAGCAATAAAACTCACTCTCAAAACTAGACAGATTCAAAATTAACCATTCAATTATTACATTTTGCTGTACCTTTTTTTTCCTGGTTACCATGAAAAAACCCAAACATATATATATATAAAATCAAAAGACTTCTCATAGATCACAAAAAAACTTGTGGCAATGTATTTCACATGCCATTCTTTCCACGCAGAGTAGAGTCACAATCTGAAAACAAGACCAGTATGTACTACCTACCAATTACCTTGATATATAGTACTCCATCAATTGTCAAGCGTATGACCGTGTTTGCTGAACAAGTCAATAAAAATGCAATTATAAAACGTAACACAAGATAGAAGATTATTTGCTTCCTTCTGACCACATCCTCTTTTGGACTATCCTCCATCCCTGTGGAATGTCTAATACTCTGCAATTTCAACTACATTATCTGCAAACTAGTGCCTGATGCCATGAAAGGTTTTCATAGTTTTCAAAACGGAATAAAGCAATAAAGCAAAAAGCTTTAGGAAAAGGAGAAAAATGAAAAGAACAGCTGATCTTCATTGAACTAGACGGAGCTATGTCCAATGCTTCTTGAAAGGCAGTGAACATAATGATTTCCCCTAAGGTTTTGGTGATAAATAGCTTCTACAAATCTGTGCAGTAGAGGAAATACTTAATGAAGTCAACTAACTCAGAATGTATAGATAAAGGAGAGATTTTAAAACAGTGTATTGAGAAATTCAGCACTCTGGGTTTGTATGATGAAGTGATAAGGAAGAAAGAACACATAGAAATAATCTTTCTAAGAAAGATTGTGTAAAACGTTACTTCAGTTAAGGGAACAAAGATTACCATTAATACAGTACACAGCAATTCTCAATTATATCCTGGTCAATAATATGTCAGATTCTAGGAGGAGTAAATTAGCGCAGTTCCTTTAGAGCCAATTAACATCAGCTGAGAATCTGAGAGCAGTGTAGAAGCATCCCACTCCTACCACTTCACTGCCAATCAGAATTTTAAAACTGGTTTTAAGCACAGTTTCAGAACTGGTGCAAATGACTGCATTTAGCCTGACAAGAGGCGTGTTTTCTGTTTGCCATGAAGAGATGCAACTGCCAGCTTATTACTTTAGTCAGTTTTTTTTTCCTTACCTGGGCAAATTAAACATGTGTTTTAGTGTTTTTTGTCTTGGTGGGCTTCTTGCTAAATCACAGAAGAGCCAAACACTGCATTATCTCCTACTCTTATCAACTTATTTCATTGGTCAGTGTAACTGCCTCTAAGGCTTAAATAAAACTGAAAGAAGCAACAAAACAATTAGGGTATGAAGAATGAATACATATTAATTATTGATTAATATATTAATAATTAAATATGAATATTAATTATTTATTTCCACTGCTGTACTTTTTTTTAAAGGAAAAATCCTACAAAAGTATTAGATAATTCTTGTTAAAAATGCATTGGGATTATTCCTCCCCCTTCTTCCCCCCTCCAACAGTACTTCCAGAAATACTACAGAGTATATGCTCTGCCTTTATTATTTGTCTAAATAGACAGAACACAGAACATTTGTGTGAGGAAGGGGGGAGGAAAAATGCGACCAGTAAGGTTGGAAAGATTGCTTTTGACTCCTGAGGTAAAGGGAAATCTGGAAGATTATCTGCCCAGAAGCCCAAGCAGGGTTTTCAGCCTTCTCAGCCCAGATTTCTCATCTCTGCTCCTTCTTCTTCTGACACCCCAAATCCCAGAGCTTCCTCATCCTTTCTACTCCAGTGTTATTCCTTTTCCTTCAGCACCTCTCACCTGAACTACTGCTCTTGTAGTAATATATCCCCATTAATTTAAGTTTATTTTCTGTACCTTTTTTCCTGAGTGGACTGAGGTGTACTGAGTAGACTGTGCTCCAACCATATGCTAAAAAAAGTCAGGAATCTATTACTGACAGGATAACTTGAAATTCAAGCATCTTGTATGTTTGAGTCCATACATTTTAAAATAAATAAAAATATGGATAATCCTTAGCTAAATGATAATTAACTGGTAACATCAGGTATATTTTAATTGATGTTGCTATCTGCTTTAGATTAAGAATTCTGCTTGCTTATACTACTTTAATCCATTGTTCTAATTTATATTACATTTCTGTAATATGTAATTCATAATTCAAAATTTTGTAATATGTAATTCGTATTACATATTTCATAACACATACATACAGTACTTAATATTATAGAAATTATTATTACAGAAATAAATGTGCAATAGCATACAATAAAAAGCTAACAGCTTCAGACACTGGAACAGCCATGCTCAGTTCTGTCTTCCTTAAATACTGAAAGAAATGGCAACAACAGTTCCTTTTTGCATTTCCTAGGTTAAGTACCATGGATTTTTTTTTCTTGCTCTCCTGTTTTTGCCTTTAAATTATGTAAGTACAAATTATAATAAAGAATCTTAAAGATAATTCTGACACACTGAAATGCACTAATGAAAACATCTGTTCAGACATGTTATGATATGTGTCTGTGACAAACTTCATTCCATTCCAATCAGTATCCAGCATAACCCTGGTCCCTTTTCAGTCAGGCTGCTACTCAGCAAGTTGGTTTCAAAGCTTTACTGATGCATGGTATTCCTCTCCAGAATTTTTCTTCATTATTTTTTTTATGGGGTTTCTGTTGGCTAAACCCTCAAATTTGTCGAGTTACATTTGGATTGGACCTCTAACATTCAATTTATCAATGACTCACCCTAATTCAGTACCATCTACAAATCTGCTGAGGGTACACTCTGTCTCATCATTCCAGTCACTGTTGAAGACTCCAAACAGTATCAGCCCAGGCAGCAATTCCTAGGGCACTCTGCTTGATACCACTCAACAACTGGACACTGAGCTTTTGACTACTAAAACTGCAGCAGCCCAGACCGCTTTTAACCCACCTGACAATCTTATCCAGCCTGTATTTCCTCAGCTCCTAGGTAGTAAGAATGCTGGAGGAGACCAAGTTGAAAGTTGTACTTCATTGGTTGTGGTAACCTCATGCACGCAGGTAGAGTCATTTCATCACAGAAAGCAATCAGGCTGATCATGTGTGTTTTTCCTTTGCTAAAATCTGGGTTGGCTTTCTGATTGACCCATCTCATATACCCCACTTGTTTGGATACGGATTCCAAGAAGAGGTGGGCTGTGACCTCTCAAGGGACTGAGGGGAGAGGCTGACTGGCCTACAGTTCCCTCAGCCTGCCTTTTCGCTTTTACTACAGCTGTTGTTCAGTTGTCAGAAATTTCCCCTGACCACTGTGATTTTCACTAATAATAGTCAGCAGCCTTGCAATCACATCACTGACATCTTTCCCAAACTTCTGGGTTTATCCCACCTTTAAGATGTCCCTAACCTACTGCTCTGCTACTTTCTTTTCAATAGTGTCCTGGCACACAAAAGGGTCTGGGAGCAGGCTTTATGCTTGGAATCTGAGCTAAAAAAGGCACTGAATATTCCTGTACTCTCCATAGTGCCCATCACAGGTTTGTCTCTTCCCTTTGTCAAGGGACTTGAATTTTTTCTTAAGCTGCTTTTGCTATTAGTATACCAGTGGAATCCCCGTCTTGCTGCTCTTCATTACCTCGAGCTAGTTTTTATATATATACTACATGGCCTCAGATATATATCTACCTATAGATAGGTAAGTACAGTAAAAGTATATAGAGGTGACCTGATTAAAACCATCATAGGAAACCTCGGTATTCACCAGTAAAAAACGTTACCAGAGATATGTAGTTTCTGATGTTTTTCTATACCCTAAGGAGAGGGTCTCAGAAGTTTATTCTCATCTTCCCTTTTCCTTTCAGATACCATCACTGAATTATATAGTTCCAATTAACAGCTTCAGTTCTATTGACTTCTGCTCTTCTAACCTGCTTCTTTCTGATCACAAGGTTAATCCCATTCATGTCTCCTTCACTATTTCATGAGGCTCACTTGATGAATGTGGACAGAACTGAAAACCCAAAACACAGAATACTAAAGAAAATACATTCATAGCTAACAGTCTTGACTACCAGTCAATCAAGTAATCTTCTGAACCTCCCTTCTGTTTCAAGATTTCTGTGTTCACCTTAAAGGCCCTTCCCAATGCTTTCCTCCCCAACAGCCTCATCCATGTTGGAAAGGGCCTCAGGAGGCCCAAACTCCCTGCTGAAAGCAAGATCAGTTATGAGGTCAGACCAGGTTACTCAGGGCTTTAGATATCTCAATTAATTGGCCCTCTGCTTTCTACATCAGCTGCTCACTTATTACCTTGTGTCCTCTAAGGTGTCACACAAACTCTACTATTTTAGGAAACTGTGAAGACATCTAAAACCACACAGAGGAAGACTCATGAGGCCTTTTCTGATGGGGGAGTGGAATATGGGGAAGGGAGACCATCAGATCTGTTTGGGACAGAGATAGGTTGATTCAGCTGTGAATACAAGTTTTTGACAAAGTTAACGTTCAAACATTTAGTCATCAAACTATCATTGAAAGTCTCTTTATTCTCAGTGGAGTATTCATCAGGATTGAAGTGGTTGTGGTTGTCAACCATCAGATTGTGGTTGACTTCACAGGCATATGTGCCAACAGAGTGGATGATGGAGGATAGGAATATTGCCTATAAGTCAAATACATCACCTCTGACCTTTCTATACTGCAAGTCCATTTAAACTCTGAGGCAGTTACACTGTCTGAAACTAGGCAAATCCCACACGGATCAAAGCTTCTGGCACCAAAATATTACAGCCACTCTAATAGAGACAAAACCTCCACTTACTACAATTAACCTATTTTCCACCAGCATACATGGTGTTCTATCAAGTTCACAGTCCATTCATGTAGGCTATGTCACAAACAGGGAAGAACAACTGGTACTACTACTAATTGCCAGGAACACATATGATGCTTTTCAGCCATATGTATGCTTACCTTTTTGTACTTTTTTGCTTTAACTATCCAGATATTTTCAAGAAACGAGAGATTAGAAAAGCTAAAAAGAATACAGGAATACCAAATACATGAAGCACTTGTGAACAGCAGCAGTTATAAGCAGGTAGCTCACCTTAGATATTTTGGGAGAGGACTACAATACACAGCAATCTCCAAATGTATCTAAAACCCCACAAGCAAGAAGTTCTGCAAATGACAACTGCCACTTTCAGATCTGTCAGACTAGATTCAGTACCAGGTGCAAGCAAAACTGAAATTGGCTGGAACTGCAATGAACTACTCTTCATCCCACTTTCAGGGTGGAAAACACCAAGCCCTAAAAACCATTTCAAGGTCATTTTGCAACAGATGGGAGAATTACTGGAACTCAGAGCTAGATCAGGCACTGCAGAAAAATATTTGATAGTGCATATTGCAGCTGGTAGATGCAGAAGGCAATGTCGTACGAGTCTGTGCCAACATTTTCTCAAACTTTTAATTAAAATGAGGGTTTTAGACAATCTCATGTCTCTGTATCACTACTAATTGTCAGACACTGACACTATTCTGAGAATATAATTAACCATCAATGAATAAGATACATGATAGCTTTTGCTTTCTGAGTATAATTTGTTATACAAAACCTCAGACGTTTCATATTTCATTTTGCTAGATATTGCATATGACAAAGAAGGTATGCTTAAAATAATGTGAAGTTCTGCCTTCCAATTTGTTTTTCAATTTACAGCTCTTCAGCATGAATATGCAGAAAATAATTTCTCAGACTGTCTTGCTTCATTTGTGCAAAAGTTGTCCATATACTGCACAGGCTGTATCTCAAAATGTCTCCTCTGTTATCTTCTGCACTCTTGCTTCAGGTTAAGAAAGAGTACTTTAAAAAGATAACAAAAAAAACCCCCTGGCAAACAAACAAGTAGACTAAAAAATAAAAAAGGATGAAAGAAAATTCCTAGTAGAATAACTTTGGAATCATTACACTTGATTGTGGTTTTTGTTTGTTTTAAGAAGTCAAACAATCAATCAATATGAGCAAGCAAGTTTATATGTCTTAATCATCGAGGGGTAAAAATAATAAAAGGTCTTACTTGTATTAAAATCTTATTGATTCCTCTAGTTAAAACAATTAATTTTCTATTAACGTTCTTTCTGTATATCTGTGCATGTCAGGGGAGAAAACAGTTAAAAACTATATCAGTCCCTTAAAATTCAATACATAAATTCTTATCATGAAAGTTATTCAAATGAGTATTTTCAAAGCTAAGGTCACTAAAAGCTTTTAGATCATTTTGGTCTATGTGAATATTTTAATTTGTCAATAGACCCAAGGAAGCAGGAAGTTGCACTTTAACATTGAATAGTATATATTAAGGTCAAGGTTAAAAACCCAGCCCAGCAATAGGGATATTCTTAAAATAAACTATATAATTTCAGCTTCATTTAATGTGAAAAGATTATATCAGTGGAGGCCAAAAATAGAGAATTGGGGGGCAATAGAGTACTGGGGGCAGGGGGAAAGGAATATTTTGACATCTATTTATTTTTTAACTAATTGGAAAGAACTACAGAAAGAGTAAATCTATAAAAGCTGAAATAAGTTAAACCATTATATTTCTCAATAAACTGCATACTACTTTGCAAATGGCACAACATAGTCTGCAATATTCCATTTAGAATGCTTATTACTCAGTTCTGCTGGTGCACGAAGTATCAAAGTATAAACTTTTGGTGTGGTACAAAAATATTAAAGTTGCTAAGACACACATTGGTATCTAGCTACATTTTACAGTAAAATTCAGTCAAGTCAAATGCCTTAGAAAACAATGACAAAAACCATTTTGAATTATGAGTTATTAAAAATGGTTCTTCTTCTTCCCCCTACCCCAAATCTAAGTTTCAGATCCAACTACAACCACCAAGTAATCAACAAATGTCTTTGTACATAAAGGGGCACTAAGATCTGACAGGAGTTGAAATGTGTATGTAGCACTTAATTTACATCTTGCAAAGAGATGATAAGACATAAGCAAAATTAAAAATTTATAGAAGCATTGAAGAAGCACACAACTATTATAAAACCTACCTCAGAGAAGACTATTAGGAGAATACCACAGCAGAGAGATAAACAGAAATAAAACTGTGGTAAAAGTAGTCTATTTTTAAAATGACAAAGTGGTTAACAGCTTGTTATTAGAAAGTTTGATTACGTGGAAAGTTACACACATTTCATATATTTGTTAACAATCCAGAACAGAGCAAGCAGTGAAATGGAAAAATTAGATTATTATAATTTAAATCAGTCATATTACAAAGGACAGTTTTTGTGCAATTTTCTATGGAGTTTTCAAGGTTCGTCTGATGATTTTGAAATCTGGCCCTCTGCAGTATTACTAAACAAACCTGAATCATCATCAGAATTTTACAGTGAAATGCCTAGCAGTGCTTACAAAGCTTCCTCTCCACCAAGGGTTCTTTGCTCCAGGAATTTCATATCTCCCTTTTTCTCATTTTGCCATGTCACTTTGAATATGTCTTTTACTAGGTGATGTTTCTAGAATGAATCGTGTCACATCTAATCTTCTATTTTTCTAACACATTTGTGTGCTATTTAAGCTTGACTCGAGCAGCATAGTTATTGCATGTGATTTCACTTTGTCATAGCCCTCTGGGCATGTTCTGCTGACAACGTTTGCTTACACACCTTTAGGGAGGTACATCTGTCATTAAAAAAAAATATTTCTTTGAAGTTTATGGTGGAGGAGGAACTAAAATTTTTGAAACAAGAAATCTGAGTCTCATGCATTATCTAAAGAGAATAAGATAATTGTTGAACAGCAGGACAAGAACCTCAGAGTTTATTGGGGTGGCATCATACTTTTTTTTTTTTTTAAAGAAATTTGAGGGGAAGACTTCTACTTGGATTTTAGAAACTCCAACTAAGATTAAAGCAACTCCCAAGGATAACTGAATACCCAAGAACTGGGATGTAAAATGCTACTTAAAATAAAACATCACTGTTCCATTATAAAATAGCAGCTGGAGGCATTTACTGTAACTTTTTTCTTTCTTACTTGGAGTTCTATCTTGCTGAATTTAGTCAGGTTTTCCAGACTTTTTCCCCAATTACTTTTACTTGGTGTTCTTTTACTAGCATTTTACCTCTATGTGGTGCTTGTGGCATCTTCTGGGGTGTTGGCTGAAGGTGGTCTGTGAATTGGATTGCTGAAGGACATAAAAGAAAGTTAACATGACCCCATGCTGCTGGGTTTGGCTCTGACCCCGAAGTGCCACTGCCATGCCACAGTTTATGCTGCAAAAGTGCATTTGCTGCTTTGCTTGTCACATGCCTTATCTTCCACATGCTCCTAGCAAATTGCATCTTCACATTTTGTATCATTTTTTTCTGTCTTGAATGACTCGCACTCACCATCTAAGAGTATAAAGGTGAAATATACATTCCAAATTACAGTTAATCAGCTTGCAAGAGTTAAGTTAGTGGTAGATAATTAGGATGTTCTCCAATTACCAAAGCAAGGTATTTGAATTGGACACACGAAGCAAGAATTCTGGAAGCATTCATTTGCTACATAAACTTCAGGAATGAAACTTTAGAGCTGTAGTTTCTTTTTGTGCAAACAAGCATAGATACTTACCCACGCTGTGAGGGCATTGTCACATACAGATACTTTTAAAAAAAAATATGTTCCCGAGATCCTTTACACCAAGCACAATGAAAGCACAAGAATTCTTTCATGTAATGAAACTATTTAAAAAAATGCAAACGAGAGAAATACCAATACCCTGAATATAACGAAATACAGTGAATCTGAGTGAGAGAGAGAAATATTAAAAGTGACAATAATTCTCAGGAGTTTAGATGTCATGAGAGATGTTTAGATATGACACTAGAAATTGATGTCTGTTCTGTCATGGAAGAGGAAAGGCACACACAAATCAGTGCAGATACCCCATTTTTGTAGCCTGTTAAGATTACAAGTGTAACTTATTTACCCGTGTTTACGTGTATAAATATACCTATGCATAGATACACACCCCTTCACCCATGTATATGTTTTAGATAGGAAAACCTAGCCAGCAATATAAGTATTCTTAGAACTTTTTCAGTGAGCTCTGCTTTAATTCATGGACTTTTTGACTCTTATTCTGTTGTGCTTGTGAACATATACACACATATACATACATAAATACACATATAAAGAATGGGAAATATGTGTATATATGTATAAATATATAAAGAATGGGAAAAATGACATTTTTTAATCGTTAGTTGTGGTAGGTGATTATAATGTCAAGCGCAATTAAGAAAGGTAGAGTTTCTATTAGTCACCATCTCAGCTAACAGAAATTCTACACAAGGATATGCCTCCCGCTTCATCTGAAGCGATTTGTGGAAAAGTCTTTATCCATTATTCATTTAACTTTAGGACTGGAAATTCTTCAAATTCTTGATGTGAACAGAAAAGGTCTGTTCCATTTTGGAAAGTTTTTCTGTGAACTGAGGAGGAGAAAGCCAGTTGGCTAACACATGATTTGCTCTAACTCGTGTTTGTGGAGTTAAGCAAATGGTTTTCAGAAAGCAATGCAAGTTTCAGTTTCTACAGAACTTTACATCATAGAGCAAGCATGAACATGGAGTTTCTCAGACATGAAAATAAAGCAAATTATGATATTAATAATTACAATTCAAAAGTACATTAGAAGGTTTTCATGCAAGTTGACAAGGAACGTTGTGTGCCAGACACTGCAAGGGTGCATGCAAATTTAAATATAATGCCAAAAGAGAAAAAACAGTTAACATTATAGGTCATAATCAAATCATAACATTGTCATCTCTACTGTATTCATACAAAGGCTAATTTCAGAAAATAAATTTATAAAAACCCACCACCCTCCAAAATTCTCCTAGAATAGACACCATATTTGTCCAAAGAATTGTAAAAGTTATTCAGATGAAATCAGAACTTACCATAAGTGAATTAGGTCGATAATTATGAGGATATTCTTCAGAGAAGTACTCTGTACTGTGGTCCAGCCTTTGATGCCCTCCATATTCTGCAGCATCAGAATCCAGAAGGATTTTATACTTAAAAACAACTATTAAGGAACTATGCCAATTACTGTTAAATGGGAAATAAATTGAATCAAAAAAACCTAGAACCGCGGCAACATAATTCATGTCAATATACTCAACATAAAGCAAAAAATAATAATAAAGAAAAATTCAAGAAAACTTAAGAGTGGAATAATAAACAGAATGTATAGAAGCTGTATGACATTTTGTCTTGAAAATTTCATCTTAGCATAGTGACTCCTAGTAAAGAAAGTACCTTCAAGTCTCTTCTGGAATCTTCTATCAATGTTAAGTTTATAGTATTACAGGATATATATGTTGTAGTATTACAGGATATATATGATAGAAGATATGCTGTGCATATGCACAGCACTTTATCTGATGAACTAGGTTAAAAATGTACCACTAAATAAAATGAGTGGATTTGAATTGCATTTAAGTAGTTACCTAATTTTGACCATCAAAATCAATCGGTGTTTAGCAATATTTTACAGTCTGTCAGAATCTGATCAAGCCTTAATGAGAAAGGCATACAGTTTTACAGAAGAAAGCCCCACAACTCCTTTGAGAGTTTTTCAGAAAATAATTCGAATTATTACAAGCACAGAGGAACAAAGGAAAGATTATATTTAACAGAAGAGCTTTTAAGACACAAACATTCTGACTGCTGTTGTTAAAACAGGGTGAGTTATTTAACAAAGTGTAACAATCAGTTGGAATACCAGTATAGATACTTAAATGATTCAAAAAAGGAAATGACAAAATGTAAGGAAATAAATTGGGAAATAAAGAGCTAACACATATTCAAAAGTCAATTTCTTCTTATTTGGGACGACAACAACAAATGGAATGTTTTAATTTTATAATTATTTCAATACCTTCGAATTTTTTGTTTGAACATAATTAAGACATCCTTTTGCCCCCTGAAGTTACAACAGAAACCCTCAATCTCAACTCCCCACCGCCCAAAACATATAGAGAGGGAAATAACAGTGCTCTACAATGCGCAATCTGCTTCCTTAATTTTAAGCCATGAAACATCTTATTATGCTAGAGTTTGTATCTTATAGGATTAGGGTAGACTGAAGCAACATTCTTTCAAGTCAGTGGTTCTTAAATTGCTCTTGTGCTTCTGTGTTTGCTCAACTTCTTGAAAACAAGCCTGCTCAAAAATCTAAGGATTTTGATATTAACAGAACTGTTTTTATTTAAGTCTTTTTACACTGTTCTCTTTCTACCAGATGAATTTAGGAAGTTTCCCATCTGCCAGTTTTACTGATTTAAATCTCTAACCACAAAAAAGACTGAAGCACGACATAACACAAAAAGTCGCTTAAACTAAAAGTAACTACAAATTTACTCTGAGATATGCCAGTTTAGAAGATTGCACAGGTTTTGATGACAGAAGGCAAAGAAGAAGAAAAATAGATGCACAGGAGAAAAAAAAAAGTAAAGCTGTCAATCAGCCACCAAATTGCTAATGTTAAATAATCCCTTCCCCACAAGTATTTGCAGCAAAATGAGAAAGGCCCAGAACCGCCAAGTTAGTTTCTGATTTCTAGAAGGCAGGTGCCCAAAGGGAGACATAGTAGATCACCACATTTGCTGGCAAAATATTCGTGTTTGTTACTTAAAAAAAAAAAAAGTTAGGAAAATGATACTTTGTCAGCTTTAGTCCTCAATGCCTTATATGTGCACCATGTACACACCTCCCTCACCCTTTATTTTATAAACACATTCAAATTGCCATTCACTTGTTAGCATGTACAACATCCAAAAGTAGAAACTAGAACTTCTAGTTACTCTATCCAGCGCCATTTCAAACCCAGCAACAGCTGTTATTATTCCACTGTATATTTTATTGACACGGCAGGGAAACGTCTCCCTCAAGCATTTCATTCTTTGCTTCTGTGATCTACGCTATACATCACATTTAATAATTTATCAATGTTGCTGAAAGCCCTGAAATCTGTAATGATTCCTTTAAAACTATTTACAGCAAATGCAATTGTTATGGCTATGCTAATTTTAAAACAATTTATCCCATTTCCTTAACCCAGGCTGTAAAAGTATTTCTAGCAGCACTCTCTAGCACTACACAGTTAATATTCGCTGCCTCTCCACACCCCACAACATAGCACATTTGGGATAAAAACTGTTAACGAGATCCTGAATAATGGGCTCAAAAAGAATTTTCAGATCTTCACAAATTAGATGTTTCTCAGGGAAAAATAACTAGTTTGGTAAACATGTCCATTTGCCTTCCAACTTAAACCTCACAGAAAAGACACTTTTCGCATTTCGGAATTTTATGAGCACCTGGGTTTTTGAAGACTACTTTCATGAAAACATTAAACAATTGTGCATTTTAATTAAGCACAAAATAGAAATATTTTGTTTTGCAATAGGGTCTTTTTTGTTTCAGCGACAGAATGCTGGAAATATTAACCTGTACTCTGACTGAAAAAAAGCCCGATTTCTGTTCCGTTTGATGCTCTGACTACATTTCCTAACCATTACAGTGGAGGAGAGTAGCAAAAGCAATGAACTCTTGTATAGACAGAGCTGGAAATGGAAAAGCTGTCATTATCTACCACGTTAATTACTGAATTACTATGCTTTTATGATGTTTTGAAATACATATTTTAACCCAATTTTTTTTATTTAATCTTATGTATGTTTAATGACACATAAAACACCACTAAGTAAATACAAATCACAAAATAAGATAATTTGTATTTTGCTTCTACACCTTTACTATTGACAAAAGAATCCAAGTGCTATTTGTGGGGATGATGGTCCAGCATAATTAAAAGCTTTGCAGAAGAGCAGGTAAGAATTTCTGCTGACCAGCTGTAAAACAATGGAAGGTTTACTAAGTATTTACAAAGAAAATACTCTTTTCTATATGGTCTGGTTTGACTCATAAACATCTATCACAAATCAAATACATTCAAATAATCAAGTACATTGGCCCCTCTGTATTATATATGACAGCCCTATTACACAGATTACCTGCATGACAGGTTACTCAAGTTAGAAAGTCTGGACGTAACTAAGCAAGACCGCACACTTATGAAGGGTAACCAAACATATACAAAAAGACTGTAGGTGATCCTGATGGTTTCATCTTCATCCTTTCATAATCTGTTTTAAAACACCAGGATTAGGAACTGTTACAGTTTTGATTTTATTGTACAGTGTCTAAGCATCCATGCTTCTGGTTCTCTGGTGCTTTCCAGGCATGCCCCTACAGCATAGGTGTGTATGTAAATATTTATTTTCTTTTTAACTCATATGTAAATCAGCTCTCATTTTCTTGCTGCAGTTCTCCGTACACAAAAGAATACCTAACAAAGATTTAATTTTTATCCCTTGCTACCATTTTTTTGCTAAAAGCAACAGGATATGGTTCTGGCAATACAAACGGCAATAAGATAAAAGTACAGATCCAAAAAGAATGAAAGATTGTGCTGAAACACTTAAATTCTGTCTGTATATAGAAACTTTCAGACAGTGAATTTAGGCTAGAAAGAAGTGTATGAAAAACAGAAAACATGGGAACACTTTGAAAAGTTTTTGATCCTTTAAGGAGTCTTGGGATCAGCCGGTTGTCCTCAACCAGTTATGGTGGCAATGACAATAACACTGGCATGATCCCACGCCTAATCTACCTGCAAGTTTAAACCACATGACGAAATTAAATTTACTCATTCTCATTCCATCTACATGGATTAAGAGATTTACTCACAAAAGTAACAGCTAAGGTACACCTGGATGCTTTGTTTAGGGTGTCCAGAGAAAGCTTTGTGTGTTTTTTGTTTGTATAAACCAAACAACTTTCCCACAAGGCCTTTTCCAGTGTTTCCAAAGGGAAAGGCTTTACAGAAGTAGCTACAGTACATACACTGTCATAGCTGCACACAGCATACAAAAGACTCTTCTTAAGGAGCCTCTATCTCATTAGATAGTCTCATATATTTACTTATTGTTCCAAGCATATTAGGAAAAGCTGTACAAAAAGCAAGAAATATTTAACTACGGAATTTAGCACACCATGTAAGAATGCAGAAAACAGCCATTTTGTTGACTGTGACTTACCTCTTTTATGCTTAGACAAACACACTGAACTGGGAGCAGCGAGTCAGAGTCATGGAACTGATGCTTACCTTTAGTGGTACAGCTGCTAGACAGAAAGAAAGCACATATGGAACTCCCCTCTACTCCATGCATTTACTGGATTCTCATGTCCAATGTTTGGGAGGTTTTTTGGTTGGTTTGGTGTGTTTTTTCTGTTTTGTTTTGGTTGGTTGGTTTGTTTGTTTTGTTTGTGTTTTGGTTGGTTTTGGGGTTTTTTGGTTTTTTTTTGGTTTGGGGTTTTTTGTTTTTGGTTTTTGGTTTTTTTTTGTTACATTTACTCATCTTTAAGAACCTTTCTGATAGAAATAACACAAAGTTGTGGAAAGCTGCTATTTAGGAAAGGCACTGCTAACAAGCTGTAAGTTAATGAGAGAAGAGAGCTGACCCAGGCAAGAAAGGTGACCTTCACTTATCACAGGAGTTTACCCACGGAAGGGCAGGGCACGGTATCATAACCAAGTCTGAAGGAGAAAAGACAAGGATCGCAAGTCATAGAATGGGATCACAGGGATGGGAATGATGACTCAGGCTGGAAGGGACCTCTGGAAGTCAGCTACAGGGTCAGACCAGATTGTTCAGGGCTTTATCCAGTAAGCTCTTGAAAACATCCAAAGATGGAGCCTTCACAACCTCTCTGGGTAATCTGTTCCAACACTTGCTTGACATCAGCGCTACAGACAAGCTCTAGACTGAGGAAAATTCATGCCTTAGGAAAGGCATGATCTCTGCTATTAGACCTGTAGCCAGGAAGGCAGTACCAACGTTGCAATAATCCCCATACCCATTGGATACTCCAATTCAAATTTTAGATTGGATTTACTGGTACCATGATCTACGTTTTCCCAACAGCAAAAGATACCTGGTAGGGAATG